TGGGGTGCAATCCAAATGTGATGAATGTCCGGCGGGCCCGATATGCGATTCTGGGATTGTAACCTTCCGCTCTGCCAGGCTGATGGTTTCGCTTGATTGCCGACCAAAATTTTGCGTAGGTGGCACCTGCGGTTTTGGAATAATTTTTTAGTAAATTTAAGCTATATTTAAAGTAGAAAACCTTTCAAAAAAAAGTTAGAAAAATGTTTGTCCAAGTCGAAAATTTGGTCATTTAGGGCCTCCCCCCCGCTAATCCTAAAGGTTTTATAGGATTTTCGTCCTAAAATTAAATTTTTTAATTAAAACCAGGGTTGAAAAGCCGCTACGCGCCTTTTCAACCCTGGCGCCGTCTGGGTCCTATCAAAGTTTACACTTTGCATAATTCCACCCGCATACCATGAACAAAAAATGAGAGGCACGGCTCTCTCCCCCTTTATATAGGCCAGCCTCACTTCCGGCGTATGCTAATTGATTCCTAACAAAGAAGCCGAGCGAAATTTTCACAAAAACTTAATTTTAATACCAGATGGTTACAGTCGCTTCGCGACTGCAACCATCTGGCCTTCGGGCTACCCTACATGTCCCACTCCACCACATCCTTTCCCACCTCCATCAATACCCCCGATAGCCGAAATCCCCTTCAAAAACTACCTAAATTCTTTCCCGATGGCTTAAGATACCTCCCCTAGCCGAAATCCCCTTCAAAAACTACCTAAATACCTTCCCGATGGCTTAAGATACCTCCCCTAGCCGAAATCCCCTTCAAAAACTACCTAAATACCTTCCCGATGGCTTAAGATACCTCCCCTAGCCGAAATCCCCTTCAAAAACTACCTAAATACCTTCCCGATGGTTTAAGATACCTCCCCTAGCCGAAATCCGCTTCAAAAACTACCTAAATACCTTCCCGATGGTTTAAGATACCTCCCCTAGCCGAAATCCGCTTCAAAAACTACCTAAATACCTTCCCGATGGTTTAAGATACCTCCCCTAGCCGAAATCCCTTCAAAAACTACCTAAATACCTTCCCGATGGTTTAAGATACCTCCCTAGCCGAAATCCTTCAAAAACTACCTAAATACCTTCCCGATGGTTTAAGATACCCCCCTAGCCGAAATCCCTTCAAAAACTACCTAAATACCTTCCCGATGGCTTAAGATACCTCCCCTAGCCGAAATCCCTTTCAAAAACTACCTAAATACCTTCCCGATGGTTTAAGATACCTCCCCTAGCCGAAATCCCCTTCAAAAACTACCTAAATACCTTCCCGATGGCTTCAGATACCCCCCATGGCCCTAGGTGCCAGCTACTATCCCCTGGCCCGGAATTGCAAAAAAAAAATAGAATTTTTGGGACCTTCCGGCTGGGGGGGGGGGGGTAAAGTGAACTCTTGCCGTTTTTATGCTCAGGAATAGTTAAAACAATTTCGAAAAGAAGCCGCTATGTTTAAAAAAAAATTCTTTTCTCTACTTCGTTTCTTTAAAAATACAAAAAACATTGGTTTTTGTTGCAAAGATGGCGGTTATTTGACCAAAAGGCATAGGACCCTTTGGATACGAAAACATTTGTCTCCCCATCATTGCGAAATAACGCCTCCAGCAAATACCATGCGAAGGTATAGGTTGAACCAAAAGTCCTTATAATCGAACTTCGGACATTTTTTGCTAATCATTTTGTGGACCTCTAGGGTATAGCCTACATATACCCCATCCGAAAAATTGCAGCTATCGAAAGAAGGGCAAGAAGCGAGTGCACCAGATTGCATCCTGCCCGTGGCGCTCAACGACGGCAAAGGTTTGATTGCTGAGATACTCGAACCCGATCCCGTTGAGATCAAATGATGTTCCCCTTCAACCTGTGCACCCGGGAAATGGTCGCCGCGGGCAAATGCGCCGCAAAAACATGGTAAGGCCTTTTGTTGTGCTTCCGAACGAGCTTCTAGGAGTACACACGATTATACGAAAACTGTACCCGAGGTAACCACCGAGTACCTGGCGCAATGTGATGCTGGCTTCATAGTCCCAGAGTTCGTTTTTTAGCTTACCAAGAAATGGGTTTCGGCGCACATCGACCCCACCGGGTGTTCCAAGTTCTTTTTTTGGGAAGGTTTTGCTGGTCACAAAGGTGGTGGGAAAAGTAAACCCATTCCCTGCCATAATTTACAAGGTTCTGGACTGTTAGCGGGGAGGGATCTTAACCGTGGGGGGAGTAGCATTTTCTGTTTTGTTTTTACCAGCTATACCTACCTGTTGATGATATATTCTGGGTTCTTGCGTATTCCGGGGGGGGGGGGGGGCTTTTTTTGCCCACATCTCAATTTTTCCTTTATCCATTTTGCGAAAACGCGTATCTATTCCGTATATTTCCCCCATAAAGTGTTTTCACATTTTTTTTAGCAAAATTTAAAGCTATTTGAATAGGAAAACTTTTTACTAAATTAACTTATTTAACTTTTTTTATGAAATTTTGTAAAGTTTTATGCTTAGGAATAGCTATAAACGGTTTAGAAACAATTCCACTAATGATATAAAAAATCTAGGCTTGGGCCGAAAAAGTTCGGTTTCCCCCCGCGAACCGGTACCGGTATCGTTATCAGCGTGGAAAACTGCATTAGTTAGGCTAGATAGCGAATCAAAGTCCAACTTCGAGATAGGGAGGTTTCCTTGTCAGTAATAAAAAACCGCCCGGCGCCCGACAATACGTGCACCTCAACACGAAGTTTTAGAATTGTCATCGAGGCGATCGCTAACCATCACTCGCCCGATCTAGCCCCCAAAAAGACTTGTGTTCCGAGTCTGCACATGGGCGCCGGATACGCAATCTCGGATCCGTCTCCATTCACCAACTACCCCTATGACGTGCTTAATCCGCTGAATACCATGGCAATGAGGCATTTACTGAAGTAACGAATGTCGCATTTAGTATTGTGGCAGCGGAGGGAGGCAGCCAGGGGAAAAATGTGAGCCACGACCAATCTGCGACAAGGATGGCAATGTCCCGTAAGAAATAAGGAGAAACCACCAACAAAAGTCCATTTGCAGAAAGCCTGCGATAGCGCCAAAGGAAATTACTAGCGCACCCGGTTGCGACAAGCCATGCAAGTATGAATACGGAGCCACGTACGACGGATGCGTCTTCCTGGATATCTCAAATCCCGGGCAAGCCATCCCATACTTCACAGCTCGTCGGGCTTTGGTTGGTTATCTTGGACGTCTTTGGATCAAGTCGTTTCACAAACTGGAGATTGAAAATATCGAATCGTTTTCAGTCTGGCCCGTACGCTATTCTGATGGATGATGATGAGACCTTGATGCTGGGTGGCGAGGAAGAGAAGCAAACACCCGCACCGCCTGAGCCCACCTCGAACGCGCCAATTGCAGACGGAACGGAAGAGGCACCCTCTCCTTCCAATCGGCCTCAGGTATTAGGCTTACAGACAGACGGTATACTATGGTATACGATCGCTTTTTGATAACAAAATGTTACGTTGCAAAAATGTCAGATTCTTTCGCATTGGCGGGCAGTAATTTTTCCTGAGGATCCAAGTTCTCTGATTTAAACGGAGGATGTGTTTCTAAAATTTCTGTTACTATTGATAAACGTGAAAACTTTACTCGTTCGTATTCAAAAATATCGATTTTCGGTTCTTCGCATTATCAGGCGTAGGGGTGGGGTGGAAACCGAATTTTTTGTATACGTCTAAAATGTTTAGTAGCTTAATAGAAAGTGTTTTAATAGTGGTTTTAGTTATAAACTATATTTCAACTAGAAAAACTATCTAAAAACTTTCAACAGTCTAAATTTTGATCGAAAAATCTATATTTTTGATATTGCTTCATACAAATTTGTCAAGTTTTCAAGTTTGTGGATAGTAAAGCCAATGTAGAAACACTTTCCATTTAAATTAGAGAACTACGATTCTTAGGAAAAATTTCCCAGACAAAGACTAGACCACCTGATTGGTTGGCTTTGACCAGATAATAGCGTCGTAATTCGAAACGATCAGTTCCGCCGCACCCGTCGCCAAGCCGGCACCAAGTTTCGATACCCGCGATGCATCGACTTGGCAGGATTGGAGGTGGATGTCGAATATCATGTAACGTAACACACCCTTTTAGGAGCAAGACAGTGAACGCGTCAAAAAGGACGCATTGCTGGACTGCAGCAAGAACATCTTCGTCCAGTTCCGCAACGGCGACTCGAGCGGCCTCGCCATCACCCCTCCGCCGTGTCAAGGGGCCAACGACACTGTAGGGCACTTTCGATGATTTATTAAGAGCCGTCCGAAGCGGAGACCGTAAAATCAAACTTTCTAGAGAATCTGCGCCCACCGAAGTGGACCCGCCACTGGCCCGCCACTCCCCGCAGCCACTACCGTTGTTGCGCCCCTCGCGAGTGAAATGTTGATCTGGTTAGGAGCAGGTGTGACTTTACGACTCGTACGGGCATGCGACTTTAGCTGGAGCCGGAGTGGTGGTGCTGATCGGTTGCGGTGTTCTACTCGGTTGCATAATAAAGAAGTAGGGCAATCTGTTTCTGCTGATACAAGTCATGCTTTTAGGAAGAAGCGCGAGAAGGAGGAGGACTTGGAGAAAGTGGCAGTCGAGTCACCGACGGCTTCAAGCGGTGCCGAGACACCACCCGCGGTTGCTGCTTCCGTTCCGGCCGTGGCCGAATCACCCGCCGTGGCTCCTTCGCCCGCCCCGGTCGTCACCGAGCCAGCCCCGAGCGCTCCTAAACCGAATCCGGCAGCCGTCGAACAGACTCCGGCCGTCGCCAAGCCGACCCCACCCCCCGTCGAACCTGCTCCGGCCGCCAATCCACCCCGCCCAGCCAATGCTCAATTGACCCAGAAGACGCAGCCATCAGACCCACCCCGCCCAGCCAATGCTCAATTAACCCAGAAGACGCAGCCATCAGAAATTGTGAACCTCGCCGATGGTCACTACAAGCTCATCACATCCAACCTTGAGGGAGGACACGCTGCGCATCTCAAGAACATGGTAAGTCGGTGACGAATTTCTGGCTCACTTCGGCTTCACGGTCTGTGCCACACTGAAATCGTAACATGCGATGGAACTTTTACCAGACATGCAAAGCCTTCAGGCTGTTAGTGAGGGGGGGGGGGTAGCAGATCGGGTACCAGTTGTTTCCATCTATAGGTGCCCGTCGATAATATAGAAAATATTTCTACTGTTTCTAGTAATTTTTGGATGCTAGAAAATTACGAAGAAAAAAAATATATTTTAGCAGTATCAGGATTCTAGTGTAAAAATTCGAAAATTTCCGCCTTATTTGGCCACTGCGCACATTTTTGATGAAAATTGAAGAATTTTTGCAAAACGCTTAGAATTCTTTATATTGCTTGGATGTAGTATGTTGTAAAAATTCTTTATGTTTTATCGTATGAAATTCTGGAGGAAAATTTGCTCTCACCCCCCGATCATCATGCGATGTTTTAGACCGAAGGTACGCCGCGCCCAATCAGACGTCAGTCGGGCCGATACGATCTGGCTGCGAGCGGATTTGCGTTGAGAATCGATCTCGAAAAGTTTGTGGGTGCTAGTTTGCTAGAAATATCAAGCTGTTTTTAAGCTAGACCTAGGCCTCGATATCTATCGGTATTTCTAATGCACCGTTCAGAAAGAGTGGAAGTCGAAGCAAGTCGCCAAGCCCGAGAACAAGCCCGAGACGACCCTTCGGAAAGTATGTCACATGGGCAGTCACACAGCGCGGAAGATGATCGAGGAGTTCGGCAGTGAAATTTATTTGGCAGAGGAGAACGACAAGGCAAGAATTTTTGTATTTTAATTTCTAACTTGGGGGCATGCAAAAATGTGCTCCAATCTCCAAGCGATGTTGCGGGTAGTTGGGGCTGGCTTGCGGGCGAGTTTTGGTTTAAAAAGCGATGTCCCGGTCGCCGACATTGGCTTGGTGCAGTTTTCGACGCTATTTCTTGACGCGATCTGAAAGCATAGTCGAATTAATAGGGATGTATAATTTTGACAGTTTGAAACCTTCATTTTACTCGTTTACATGGGGCGCTAAAACTGCCTACCCCAAAGAAAACTATCTCAAAATATTCATCCGATAAATCTGAAAAATTTGTGAAAATACTGATTTGGGGGATTGATTCTGATTTTGCATCGGATCCTGTTTCTTCGCGAACGACAGCCTTTTGAAAGGCGTTTGCGGAAACGCAGTTTCGGTGGGATTAAACCGGTTCAATTAAGTTTTTAACAAAAACACGTGCTTTTTTGCATTGCCGAAAATTGGGCAAAAAATTTTCAAATTTCGAAGCAGGGTTGCATTGGGAACCCGCCTTTTCGAGAGCTTTCGATAGATACCTAAATCGTAAAAATCGGACACGATTGCGGAATGCTGGGGGCGGGGCTTTTTGGGGCACCCTGTATCAAAGAAATGAGCAGTGTCCCAAAAATTAGATCGTTACAAATTTTCAGATTTTCGGATCAATGTTTTTTTGAGAGTTTTTAGGGTCGGCAGTTTTAACGCCCCCTTGAACTTTGAAATTAAAACTTGGAAAGATTTAATTTTGAAAGTGACGAATTGCAAAAATACCTGCAGCCGTTCTACCGCCCGGACGCCGATGAGTTGGAAAGCCTGTGCTCGGACATTACCGGCCACATTGCGCATGGAGAGAACGGAGTGGTGAGGCCGCAGGGACGGACGATTGTCGTCGGCGACATCCATGGAAATGTGGGCATTTGTTAGCTTTGAGTATTTTCGACCACTACGACAATTTCTTTTTGTTCGCGGTGAAAATGTAATTTTCAGTTGAACGACCTTTGGCGCATCATCCATGCCTGGCTGTCGGATGTGGTTGGAAAAGGGCCCGGACAAAAGTGGCGTTTCTAGTTGTATTTCTGACCATGAAATGGTTCAGCATCGTCTTCCTGGGAGACATTATCGATAGTGGCCCTCGTCAACTCGAATGTTTGACTCTGATCATGTCCTACAAAGTGCTCTTCCCCAAACAGGTAACCGACAACCCCTCCCTTCCTTTTACACCTAAAGGTGCATTTCGCTCCGGTTCTGAAACCCCGTTCAGTGGCGGGAATTTAGCTGCTTGGCATGCATTATTGTTGGCAGAGCTTCCTGGTGTAAAATTAACCAGTGGCAAAAGCCCGCTTCGTGGCTCTTTTCCACTGGACCCCGCCCAGGAACCATGAGTTTGAATGAACCATGTTTCGAACCATGCGGAGGGTGACCCAATGATGCTGGGAGATAGGTGACCCACTTTACAAAATTCCGTTTTTGAGTCTGAATCCGTAAAAATTTGTAAAGATAATAAGACCGCCTGACGGCCGAGAAGCTAACTGCACAGAAAACAGACATATTTTCTCGTTTATAGGATAAGATGGTTAATAGGCTATTTGCGGCGTTCAGAAAACAAAAGGAACCTTTGTACAAAAAAAGCAAAATAAAAGTCGTGCTCGGGTTCGAACGTTCAAGCCCTCGTTAGATTCCCCCAACGCCGCCCCACTACCTCACTGGTCCACCAGGACATGGTGCATGGCTGTTACCATCTCTTTCAGGTGTGGATCATCCGTGGCCATAAAGAGGAGGCAGCGATCTGCTTGTCCTTCTTCGAGCTGCTGAAGAAGTACGGGTACGGGCAGGACCTGATCAACATTATTACCAAATACTTCACTCGCCTGCCGGTTGTCGGGCTGATTGACGGGCGGATCCTCTGCATGCATGGCATGATTCGTGGGTTTTAATCGCTTTGGTCGAACACGATAGGTGTTGGGTCATTAGCCACCAATATTCCGCGTTGGTATCCATTTCGGGTATTTGTAAAGATCCAGGGGAATCGGAGAATTTGTTGAAACCTGCTTTGGTACCGCACTCTTAGCGGGGGGTCTAGTTTAGGGGTCGGAACAATTTTTTCACTGTAGCCCCGTACGGCCCTATGAATAGCATCTCTTACAAGGAGTCGTTTTTAGGTGATATTGGAGTTTTTGAACGAGACCTAGCTAGTTCGATAGAGAAAAAAAATCTGAGCAAGATGTCGTTTTCCAAATCTGCTAACCGTGTATTGTATTCAACAAAAATGAATTTTAATGAAAAAATTCCGTGGTGCCACGCTGCCACGACGGGATCAGGCCCGGGACATAGGCCGCAAGGCAAACTAGCATCCGCATGAGATGGTGGCCTAGTGGATAGTGTAGGCACCTTTCAAACTTTTGCAAATTTTTGTTCAGGTTCGGAACTTTTTTGGCTTATTTGTTTTGCTTTTTGGTTTTTAATGCTATTGAAATCATATTTGGCATCAAAGAGCAAAAAGCAAAAGTTTTTCACCAGCTAAGATTCGAACCCACCGACAAAAAAATAAAAACTTATGAAGCAAGCGCACTACCAATATGCCACATAGGCATGCCTTGACATGAGCGTGAAGGGGGCTCTGTTCACGCGCACCTCAGGTGCAGAAGCTGCGCATCAGGCGGAAAATGATGGTGAAATGAATGATTTTCAAATTAATTTTTATTGAATACGGTACACGGTTAGCAGATTTGGAAAACGACATCCTGCTCAGAATTTTTTCCTCTATCGAACTAGCTAGGTCTCACTCAAAAACTCCAATATCACCTAAAAGCGACTCCTTGTTAGATTGAAAAAGCCAATAAAAATCTAATGAAAATTTTTTGACAAGTTTGTCCTTATGCGTTTAACGTGCATGAATTTTTGCATCGCCAAAGTCGTCAAATTACTATTTTTCCAAATTTTTGAATATTTTTAAATGCAACTAAAACCTGCTCAAAATACGATAAAATAGTATATCTTCCGGTATAGGTCAAGCGGTTCCCACCCCGCTAACAGTCCAGTACCTCTGGTTTCTTCTTAATCCATAGTCACCACCATCCATTTCAGCCATGGAACTGACACCAGAGCTCCTTGAAAGTGGGTGGGAGGTGTGGCAAGACACGCACCAGGTGATAAACACGGCAATGACATGGAACAATCCCACGAAAGACCTCAAAGGGTACGTTGCCTTTTCTTGGATTTTTCCTTTAAAAACTGCCTAGATACCTTCCTGATGGCCTTCGATACCCCCATAGCTAAATAAAAATAATTAACTTTGAAAGTGACGTCTTAATAATACGAGTGGGAGCGCTCTCTCGGCAGGCCACGCCCCCTTTCCCAGCCCCCTTCTCCAGGCATTCCCCCGCGCCCAGATCGCTTTTTTAAGTTCCTTTAATACTTTTTATTTATTTTAATTCATTATTTAAATCATTTAAAGTATCTAAAGCCATCAGGAAGGTATCAAAGAGTGTTTTAAGGGGGTTTCGGCTATAGGGGGAGTGATCCGGAAGCCATCCGGAAGGTATTTAGGTATGGTTTTAAAGGGGGTTTTGAGCTATGGGACGATCTGAAGCCGTTAGCGTAGGTAGTGATGGAGGTAATGAAGGCTGTGGTGGTGTAAGAAAGGTCTTATTATATTTTTTGATGCTATATGAAAACGCATCAAGAAAACCGCCAGCAAAAATGGCGAAAATATGAAAAAAACCCCTGCTGTTTTGCAACCGGCTAAATAGAACAGTACCAACAAAATTGAAAAATTAACGAAAGAAAATTAAAGCGAAAGTAAAAAAAATTAGAAAAAATAGGTTGCATAGCATTAAAAATAGAGTTAAAAAGCGTGAGACCGACATTACGCAACGTCCCTGCTATACATCTCGGACCCAATTTCCGCATGGATTGGTGCCTTACGGCGAAATACCGACGGTTCCTTTTTGGGGGCATCCCGTACAGGACGGAATCTGTGTTGGTGTTCATGCTTTGCTTTTAGCTACCAGCCCAACAAGAAGCTCCATCCCGGGCATCGTGTGGGCACCGAATTGATCACACGCCAGATGCAATGGCTTGACGTCGAGTTCGTCATCCGAGGCCACCAGGTTACACAAACCGGCTCCATCGTCATCCTCTTTACAGGTGATGACGAACGGCGTGCGACGGTTCGGTGACCTCCCGTTGGCTACTGTATTCTCCACATCAGGCCACGAGCTCGGGGTACCCACTTGCTATGCTAGTGCCTTCTGCCCTGAACTAAAGCCATTTTTCCACGAAAATTTTGACATTTTAGTTGTTTTCATGTTTTCACCTCAATTTAACTAAATTTTATTGAAACTCGTGAAAACTTTCACAAAAGCAAAATCCTACTATATATAAAAAAATAGTGTTTGTGTGTGTGTGTATATTTGCATGCACTTCCGTTTGGATGTTCCGCACCTACAGCCTCAGGGAAGCATTTTTTCGGTAAGGAGGAAACGTCATAGGGTAAAGAAGGGCCCGGAATCGACTGCACACACATAAAAGTTTTGAAAAATTGCTATTTTCGATATTAAAATTAGGTTTTTGTAAAGTTTTCGGCCAACCTCTTTGTTAGGGATCAATTAGCATACGCCGGAAGTGGAAATGGTTTATAAAAAGGAAGGTAGGGCGCCCTTTTCATTTTTGGTGAGCGGTTTTCGGCAAGAATTATGCAAAGTCAATAACTTCATCGATCCTAGACGGGTCCAGGGTTGAAAAGCCGCGAAGCGGTTTTTCAACCCTGGTTTCTACTAAAGGTCTAGGAACCCCGCCCCCACCAGCCGCAACTTTTCAGCCATCCTATATTAATGCATGGAGTATCTCAGAATGTTTGCCGTGGTTGTACTACCATTAAATTGTAGTTTTCTTACATCAAAACCCGTTAAAAAAAACTTTTATAACAATTATCAGTTTGGGTTTGCGTTAATTAATTTTTCTGTTCAAAGTGAGTTTCCGTGTCTTGGTGCTCCTTAGCAGGGTTGGCCATTTTTGACCCGGGTCCAGGTGGGTCTGGGTCGGACCCGTGGCCGGAAGTTGCTCAGATAAATACAAGTCTATACGGTTAATCTACGATTCAAATTTCTTCAGCAAAATAGTACACAAAGCAGTCATAGTCGTTTATCCCGTATGATCGAAGTGAAGCCAAGGCATCAGACAAACAACAAATCGAAAATCGTCTGAATGATTGGCAAAGAATATCCTACCTTATATAATTTTGGCGTGTATCTTTGTGTGTGTGTGTGGATGTCACTTTCGAGGCCCGATTTGAGGGCCTTCCCGTGTCCAAAATGCCTTAATTCTCCGTCACCCGGGGGAATCGACTCTTCTGTTTCCGATGGCGTTTTCAGAATTTCGATAAAATACAAGTTTACAAAGTTAAAGCCGGTTTTACACATTTTTGGGGTCCCTGAGGCTAATTTGCATAATGTGAAAAAATACAAATTTCCTCATTCTTGCAAGTTGCACGCGCGCGTTTGGTCGGGACCGGCCAGGGGTCTGAAGGCGCCGAGCTATGAGGAAGGCAAATTTCTCATGCAAAGGCCACATTCCAGCGCCCAAGGCCCGCGAAGCGGGTTTTGGGCGCTGGTAACGATTATAACTTTCTTTTTCGATTATTATTCTAGAGTTCATTTGCATCCTAAATTAACCGCTCGGAATCAGATTCATCTGAGCAACTTCCGGCCACGGGTCCGAGCCGGACCCGGACCCGGGCCCGGACCGGGACCTGGACCCGGACCCGGACCGATGCAAATTTGTTCGGGTCCGGACCGGGTCCGGGTCCGGGTCCATGAAGACCAACCCTTCTCTTTAGGCCTACAGAGCTGGTAAGGTTGCCAAAATGTAGTTCTTGCTCTGTTCTGGCTGTCCCAAAAAAGCACCCCCCCTCTAGCGGTCCAGGGGAAACTCATATCAGGATGATTTTGATACCATTCGAAAGCCCGCGAAACGGTGAGAAAACACGCGGGCTTCATTTTCTAAAATTTATTCTTATTCGTCCGGTATTCAACGTTTTTGTAAAAAACAGGCAACTTTTCGATAGGATTTTCGCAATTAGCATGCGGATCTCGCGTAAATCTGCCGTTTTTTTTGTTTTTTTTAAAGGGCTGCCGACGGCATGTGTCGATCCCCCCTCATCAACAAATCGGCAAGTAGCCAACAGGGCAGAGAGCGCGCCACGGGGAGAGGCGCAGGGACATTTTCTTTCCAGCGCGTAACCGATTGACTATGCCGTCGGCATCCCTTTAAGTGAAATTCGCGAATAAAAATACATAGTAAGGAAAGTGAACCCTCCTTGTTTTCTCGCCTTTTCAAGAGCTTTCTAAAGATGCTTAAACGGTGGAAATCGGAAACGACTGCGCGCCGCTAGAGGTGCTTTTTTGGGACACCCTGTAGTAGAAGGCTACATTGCATTAGAGTAAAAAAAATGGCGAAAGTTTCAAAAAAAATTGAGTCGAAGCCCATGGTACATTGAAGCATAGCTTTTCATCTCTTAAAATCTTGTAAAAAATTTCTCGCAAATTTTGACCTACCGAAAAACTTTTTTGGAGTAATTCGGCCACGGCGAGCATTTTGAGATACTCCGCGCATTAACAGGCCTTTGGCTGAAAAATTGGGGGTGTTGTGGGGGAAGGGGGTTCCAGAGTCTTACCCATGGCTCCGCTTTTCTAGTCAAATCTCGGTGCCATCCTCTTCGTCGACCCCGAGGAGAATGCCATCGTGCCGATCTTCATCGTCAACATCAGACACACAAGCATCAAGAGTGGGTTTCCAAACTGGTGTCGTTAAACTTATGCCGGAAATTAAACTATTGCCGAGCCTAAAAATCATTTGTGAGGAGTGTTAAAACAACTGGCACCGCAAAATTTACTAACTGAAGCATTTACACTTCCCTTGTCTGGGTCAAATTTTGGGGTCTTTTTGAGGGACAAGCCGCATAATTTCTATCTTTGTGATTTCAGCACAAAAGGACTTCGACAAGAAGCTCGCTGAGGGATGGAAAGTCAATGATTACGCTCGCCCGATGCCGTAAGTCATGCGCTTCTAGCGCCTCTGAATTTGTAAACCGAACGAATTGGGAGTTTTGCAGCGTCGAACGGGCGGTGACGGAGCAAAAGGAAGCGAAGGAAGCGAAGGAAGCGAAGGAAGCGAAGGAAGCGAAGGAAGCGAAGGAAGCGAAGGAAGAGGGCTAGAAATGAGAAGCACAAATCAACGAATCACCGAGCCACCCCCCGACCATCATCGTTCCACAGAAAATATCCGTACTTTTCTCCTGTGGAAATACTCGTCTGTACCCAGTCTATACCGTACCCCATTCGTATCGTCGCTTGTGTTGCTGTGCATTTTTTCTGGGAATAAACGGTGAAAAACGTGCTTGTCTTGAATTGCCTTTCAAAACAAATTGTCGTTTGAATGATGAAGCCTTCTCGGGCCGTTGCAGCTGTACCGCAACGTTCAGAAAGTACCGGAGCCGTTTATGGGCGGCTCCATTGACGAGCGAAAATCAGGACGAACTGGAATGTCTTGTGCAATGAATTCAACGTAATTCTGTCTTCGTGTATCCCACAGCGGGGGGGCGGAATTGCAATCTTGTGAGACCATGGTGATTCACAAGCCACGAAACGTCACCAAGTGATTACTTACGAGACAGTATTTTTTGACGAAAAACGAAATCCTACCAAAATGGCGGCAATTGATACTAATTTATAGGTTTCCTCATTTTCCTCTTCCTGGTTTATCCTAAAATATTATATAATAACCAGGGTTGAAAAACCGCTTCGCGGCTTTTCAACCCTGGCCCCGTCCAGGACCTGTGAAAGTCCTTAATTTGCATGTTTCTTCCTGAATTTTAGCAAGAAAAAAGTGAAAAACGGCTCCTCTGTCCCTTTATATAGGCTCTTCCAACTTCCGGCGTATGGTAATTTCCCCTAACAAACAGGGTTTTACAAAAACCTATTTTTAATAGCGAAAACCGCAATTTTTCAAAATTTTTATGTGTGTGCAGTCGATTCCGGACCATTCTAAACCTATTGTCGTTTCTTCCCTATCCAAAAAACCCTTCCCCGAGGCTGTAGGAGCGGAACATCCTAACGGAAGTGCATGCAAATGTACACACACACACACACAAACACTATTTTTTTATATATAGTAGGATATATATAGTAGGATTATTACTATAATAATTTTTAATAAATTTTTTTATTAAAAACGTTTACTATAATTTTATTGCGATATTATTAATTTCTGATTATTAAACTATTTTAAAAAAAGCTTTGGACAAAGTAAAGCGAAGATGCCGAGAACCTACCACAAAATTTGGCATTTGACGCTGCAGATTTTCGATTCGAAACACCCTTTCGCTTTGCACTATTTTTCTGACCGCGTAATTTTTTTGCGAAAGCTGAAAATTGTCTTGCCGACATTAAGCTGAACTTGCCGGGGCCAAACTCGCCAATGTCAATGTTGAAACAGCAACTTTAATGGCCGTGTTTTCGTGCCCTTGGTCCAGTCTCTTACACAAGAAATTCAAATTCGGGCGTATAAAAGGGGGCAGGTTTCACTTGAACACACCATTCGCGTCCACTTCACAACACTCTACAAGAAAATGAAGAACTCAGCGATTATTCGAATTTTCCTTCTCTTGCTACTCGTTGGTTTGGCACTAGGTGGCCCAGGGCTTTACGCCTTCTGTGTTGGAGGTAACTTTTCTTTTTATGTTAAAGTTTGGGTTGCGGTTGATTTTACCTCACTCCCGAGGGTCCCAAAATGTTGGAGATTTCATCTTTTTTCGAATTTATTTGGACGCAAGCTTCGAAAAATAAACTAAATGCTTTAATAACAGCTCAAAATAACAATAAGATAAAAACTTGTAGCCATGCGTGAAAAATCTTTCAGAATGGAGTCAAAAAGCTGGTTTTCGACATTTTTGGATCTTAAAGAATTTTCTTGACGAACGTTCGATAGGGCGTCAAAAATCTACTACGGGTTTTAGTTTTAATGGCAGTAACAGGATGCAATGCAGGGTGTCCGAAACCCCCCTCCCCCCCCCCCACCACCTAGCGGGCCGCACTCGTGTCCGCTCTTTACGATTTAGCTAGCAATTGAAAGCACTCGAAACGGCGAGAAAACAAGCGGGTTTCGTTTTCTAAAATTGAACCTGATTCCATCGATATTTAAGGTTTTTCTAAAAAACCGGTAATTTTTCAGTAGGAATTTTGCAATTAGCATGTAGAGCTTGCTAAAATCGGCAGTTTTCATGGTTTTGGCCGTAAAATTAGCGAATAAAAACGCTTCATAAAGAAAATGAACCCTCCTGATTTTCTCGCCTTTTCGAGAGCTTCTAGAGCTCCTAACTTATAAGAATCGGACTCGTCTGCGAACCGCTAGGTAGTGGGGTTTTTTTTGGGACACCCTGTAGAAAATAGTAATGGCAAAAACAAGCAAATCTGGCTAATAGTGGTAAAACTAATTTAATTATAAAAATCATGGTAGGAACTGTGTTATTTATCTTCGGGAATAACAGTTGGCACCTTTGGCTGCCGAATGGTGCCCTCAAAAATTTTTTGAGGGCGTTTCTCTCCTTTACTTTACGCTTATTTAGGGTGCACCGCCCTTTGTACCGGCGGCACGCTCATCAGCGGGATTGGGGCTGCTGGAGCTCCAATGTGCCTCAAGTTGTGCCTCGAAGGGTGTCTGGCTACCGGCGTTCTACCGACTCCCTAAACTCTCTCTTTGCTCTACCCGATTTCTCCCTAATAAAGTTTCAGAAAATAAGTTCCGGCTTTAATTGAAGGGTCAAGCCACCCGACTTTTATATTTTTCCGTGATACTCGATTAATATGAATGGCTTCGATCTGAAATGGCCCTGGACTCAGATAAATCTATTGTTTTAGATGAACGGAAGGGATGAAAACTTGCCCCCAGCCTCTCCACCGTTCACATGGAACTTCTTCCCAGCCGCATGGAATGCAGGAGGAGTCGGAGGTGTACTCGCAGCCACTGCTGGATTTACTGTAGTGATGGGAGGTGGACTCGTCGGCATGGCACTCGGAGCTCTTGGATTCATCTCATAAGCCATTTAATGCGATCCTGGGACTTTTTTCGATAAATAAGTGTAAAAACAAGTGACTCATAAAATGTCTAAAGAAGAATGTGCATCATTTATCGATAAGTCATTTTTTGAACTTTAGGTCAAAAATAAAGCGCATCTTTTATAAAAACGTTAACAAACGTAATTTAATAAAACTCTCGAAACAATATTAAGTCTGCGTTGTATGTAGGTTTGGCTTGCTCGCTTCTGCTTAATCTCGAAGACGCATCGTAATATGCCACTTTGGCCAAAAATGGGGCCGGAGCGGTCGGAAAATTGTATGGTTTAGGTGGGAAATTATTAGCGTGTTCACGAGAACCACTGAGAAAATAAGAGGAAAATAATAGAAATTTTTCTAAATACATCAGAGAACAATTAACCACATATGCAATGAAGCGTTTCCTTTCGATTCCGCTCATAGCCGAGCATAGTAGATTTTATTAGGAGCGACATATGCGATTCTGGCTAGACGAAGCTCCCGTGATCACCGAGAAAACATTGTTGTAATGGCACAGACACGGAGTTTGTCGTGCCGATGAAAAACAGCCAGAGTACACTGCATAATTCCTGTGAAAACGCCAACCAAATCCAAAGCGTCGTCACGGAGAGCAACTTCGTACAGAGCCCGGAGAAAAACTAAAAGGTTTATCCCTTAGCGATTCCCAGTCACCTGATCGAAAAATCGCCTGATCGAAAATCTCCTGATCGAAAATCGCCTGATCGAAAAATCGCCTGATCAAAAATCTCCTGAACGAAAATCGCCTGATCGAAAAACCGCCTGATCGAAAAATCGCCTGATCGAAAGTCCCCTGATCGAAAAGTCGCCTGATCGAAAATCGCCTGATCGAAAGTCCCCTGATCGAAAAATCGCCTAATCGAAAATTGCTGTATAAAAATCCTTATCAAAGTTGTAGCATATTTTCTGCTGCTCGTCGAGCGTCGTCCGGTCGCGTTTCTTCGGGGCATGCGCGTATTCTCGGAGCTGTCTCAGTTTGAGCCGGGTTTAGAGCTCGAATTCTGAAGGTAGTTGAGGAATTTCCACATGGACGGGTGCTTTCAGCCAAAGTGTGGGTTGAGTGCGTTGTTGGTGCCTAAGCCGAAGCCTAAGTCTAAGTCTAACCCTAACCACGAAGCCTGGTATGACAAATTACTTCCAGGTGCTGGGGCAAGAATAATTTTATTTCAGCTGGTTTGGTCCTTCAGCCCCGATAATTTTCGATCAGACGATTTACGATCAGGTGATTTATCGATCAGGCGATTTTCGATCAGACGATTTTCGATCAGGCGATTTTTCGATCAGGCGATTTTCGATCAGGCGATTTTCGATCAGGCGATTTTCGATCAGGCGATTTTTCGATCAGGCGATTTTTCGATCAGGCGATTTTCGATCAGGCGATTTTCGATCAGGCGATTTTCGATCAGGTGTTTTTCGATCAGACGACTGCCAACCATCCCTTAGCGCCTTGCAGAACATCTCAAGGCCGCCTACTTTTCCCCAAAATCGCCGCGAAGCGGAATTTTTTATGCGCAGAGGGTATGCTATCGAAATTGTCCATATTATCAAATAATTGTAACTTACAAAAGCCACAACCTGCCAGGTGCCCTCAACCATCACAATGGTGCCGGCCTAAATATAATTCCCCGACTCGAGGTTAAATTCAGGTTACCTGGGCGCCGATCATTAAAGTCGTGAACAGAAATGTATACAAACTGACGAAACAAAGCTTTATTTCCACCTTAAAAGCTGATTGACTACGCCGATATTGGTTCTGTTGCATTATCGGGGGGAGCAGACATCTTTTAAAAAGTTCCGATTGTTCTAATTGATATAAAGGGCGTCTTTCTAAGCTGTTTTTCACTATTATAAACGTAAAACTACTAAAAATTACTTTACAATAAAAACCTAGCTTTTTGACAACAAAAATTACCGGTTTTGGACCAACGCTGAAATTAATTTTTCTCTAACATTTTTTGATCGATTTTTCGCTTAAAATATAGTTAAATTTTACAAAAAAACAGGATTAAAACACTAACCTTGACGTTACTAGGCATTTTTCCACTAGGAAAGTTCAAAATTTGAAAAAAAATTTCGCTTTATTA